CTTAAGCTTTATTTTTAATTTTATAGTTCTAAATTAAAAGGCATTTTGTATTATGTTTAGGGCCTTATAAATAGCAAACATATGTGCTTCAGTATGAAAAAATGTTAAGCACGGAGAATTCAGACGAAAAAGACATAAGCTGAAATCACCATTTGGAAGGATAAAACAAAAGATTAAAGCTCTTTAATTTACAAATTTGCTTTAAATAAACTTAAAAAAACTTTAAAAATAACATGTGATTACTTTTTCAAACGATATTTAAAAAATGATCACTTATTATTCTTTGATGACATTAATATGCCTGCTTTACGGAAACGCAGCAAGAAGCAAACTCAGAGATAGCAAACATAAAATCCCCATCCTATTCGAAAAATTCCCCTTTCAGTGTCAGCACAATATTAAAAATGCACATTCTGCTTTATATACGATAATCCCAAAAAAATAATGAATTATATATAGGGGGTTCTTTATTATATCCTTACACTTTTGATACTGTGATGAATCACTAATTAATCTGAAAGTGTTTGTATCTGATTTTCAGTTTTAATTAAACAAAAAATACAATTAAAAGAATCTAAAGACTTTCAGATTTCATATTACGTCCAAGGGGACATTATTTAACATTTTGTGTATTACCTTTATCATATTTTTCGCACTTAAACCATGAAATTTAATTTAACAACAATGTCACAAAATATTTAAAAAAAGCATATCTTTAGAACTCACAGTCTCGCGCACTGAAGATGAAAATGTTTTTCTCTTCGCCAGTTTTACAAAATATGAAAAGAAGAGTCTGTGTGTGTGTGTGTGAGTGTGCCTTTCGTTTGTGCTGCGCATAAGCCATGAAATTTGGTATATAGGGTTCATCTAGACAAGAGTCAGTGCACCTCCAAGCAATTGTTTCAAAATTCCAATCATATTTTTTCATTTTAAGTTTTTTGATGAAATTGCATCAAATCGATAATTATCTCTCAATATATCAGCAACAATAGCCCGTAGCCATTGTTGCTGATATATCACTGTTGCCATTGTTACTGATATCAGCACTGTTGCCACTCAGAAGAATGAGGGCGATAATTCTGTGCAGTTTTTAAATGTAATGTTTCTCTTGGAAACTGGACCTTTGTCGATAGAAGGCAACGGGAAGTTGATTAATTTATTTATTGGGATAATTAATATTTGTATTAAGAATTATTGCTTACTTCATAGTAATTTATATATGTAATACATTTTTATTGGAATTTGTGCTTTTTTGGTTTTTTATTTATTTATCCCTGAAGGACTATTGTTTTCGTTTGAGCCATCCAATTTTGAATGGCGTAATACTACTGCTAATATGGGCATCTGAAAGCCCAAATTTGAAATTTGGAATTTGTTTTATGGACGATTTCTTATTTTTTAAAACTTTAACGAATTTTTGATTAACAATCTCAGCGATTTAAACGCGAGCAATGGTAACACTCTACGGGGAAAAATGTTTTATCTCCAGCGCGTCGAACTGTGTATCGGAAATTCTAAAGATATGCTCATTATGAAATTATTTTGTGACATTGCTGTTGAATTGAATTTTATGGTTTAAGTGCAAAGAACATGATATTTAATAAATAAAGGTAACACACAAAACATTAAAAAAAGCCACTTTGGACGTAATTTAAAATATGAAACCTTTCAGATTTGTTTTTTATATTTATATATTATTTATATATGTTCTATATTTAATCGTTCAATTATACTGAACAAAAATAAAGTATTTCCTTTATAATTACATTCTCTATTAAAATATTGCTTTATTACACACAAAGAATTTATTAATTTATTTGATAAACAATCACCGTTGTTTGAACATAAATCAGTGGCTAAATGATTAAAACCGTTAAATACTGATAGTTTTATACGGGTTCAATTCCGGAGGATCAGATTGGCTGCATGGTTGGCTTTTCCCACGTGTAACGTGAATACTAGTCAGTTTCTATGAAGACATCTATTTTCTTAGGCAGATATAGCCCTCGAGCTCATTATCGTATCCAAATAAACTAAACAAACTGAACGCTGAACATAAAAAGTTTTAGAAATAGAAAAATTTCTCTTCTTTCATGGGCATCTGAAAGCCCAAATTTGAAATTTGGAATTTGTTTTATTACCGATTTCGTATTTTGTAAAACTTTAACGAATTTTTTATTAACAATCTCAGCGATTTAAACGCGAGCAATGGCAACACTCTACAGGGAAAAAATCTTTTTATCTCCAGCTCTCGGAACTGTGTATAGGAAATTCTAAAGATATGCTCATTATGAAATTATTTCGCGACATTGCTGTTGAACTGAATTTTAAGTGCAAAGAACATGATATTTAATAAATAAAGGTAACACACAAAACGTTAAAAAAGCGCCCCTTTGGACGTAATTTAAAATCTAAAACTTTTCAGATTTTTTAAATTAAATTAATTAATTTCTTTATTTTTGATAAATTTGTTCTGCAGAAGAAAATTTTGTGCCGTTTTTAAATTTAATGTTTGGTGTTCCGTTTAGGCATTTTCCCGGTACATTTAAAAGCCAGACGAAGGCTGGCAGCATAGCGGCTAGTAGATAATAAAACAAATTCCAAATTCCAAATTTGGCTTTCCAGATACCCACATTCGAGTGCAGGACAACGGCATTCAAAATCTGATGCCTCTAGCTACCGTTGTTTTTTCGCAATGCGAGAAAGATACATACACTCATGCAGATTCTTCATTATTTAATTTCTTTAAATATAATGCAGTGTTAATGTATAATATAATGTATAAATATAATGCAGGGCCTTTAAATATAATGCATCTTTAAATATATGTGGTGGCAACAATTTGAAAAGTGATTCAGACTTTTATAGTGAGCAAACTCGAAATGCCGAAAATAAATTAATAGCCCTTCTGGGCAAATTGCCTCTTTGGGTTAATAAAGATTAATTATCATGATTCTGTGACGGCAGTTCAGACAATCTGAAAATCTTTTTAATAAAGGTTTTGTTTAAAATGATGAAAAACAAATTAATTCTTTCTACTGTGAAAAGTTAAGATTAATGAAAACTATCTGTCAAATAACGCTGGTTTCATTATAAGAGTAAACGTTCTAACCACTTTAACGCAAGAAGTATTTTTTTATCTTTCAGTGAAATCCATAAAAAAGAATCTTATATTGGCAAACAAAAGAGGTCTTTATAAATCTATAATTATTCATTCAAGATTCATTCTAATCATTAAATTGGAACATATTAGGCCTTAAATTGAAATCTAAAATATTTTCACTGACATCGTTGAATGTATATGTGCTTCTGATAAATCACGTATTTGAGCTCCGTGTTTTTAATTTCACTCAGTAATTTATATCTTATCTGTCACTAAACTGCAAAAAGTGCTGCAAAAAATTCTTTTATACTTTTTTTTATTTTTAAACTTGGATAATTTTGAAATAAGATATACCTAAAATCAATTGAAATAAGGTTCCTTCTTGACTTTTGATTGAGTTTATTGTTATGTATTTTTATATTAAATACATTATAATCATAATATCTATACATCTGCAAATGAATACAAAGTAACTAAATGTGTAATTTTTTTCCTTCCTTTTTTTTTAAAACTGTTTATACATCTGCTTAAGAAAATACATCTTAACCATGAGGCTAACATAATACATGTATTGGACAATAGATTAAGGTTCGCTGCTTATACCTTTACAAGTTTCCCTCTTGTCGCGTCTAATACCCCAGAAATGTTAAGCTAATCTTGATAAAGCTGTGATAAACATAAACAATTTAATATGATTTTAGAATCATACAGGAAATACATTTTGCATCTAAATTTACTCTAAAATGTATTACTTAATGTGCTTTTTAAAGACGTTATGTAGACTGAAGTGGTTACATTGTTCGTAAAAGTGCCTTCAATTCTATTAAGACTGTTTTGTGGCAATATGAAAAAAAACCCACTCTGAAAAATATTACAAGATACAGAAGAGTCAAAGGACAAAACTTCAATAAATAGTACTAATTCTACAGCAACGTACTTTCCGCAAAACATTATAAATAAGATAGTTTCAGCTTGTTTTCTTGTTTACGCTCCAAGAAAAATCTAAGCAAAAACTATTTTTTAATCGGACATCAATCTGCGAAATATTAGAGAAGTTCTCCTAACATTATAAGAAATGTAGTTTCAAACATAAGCCGCCCAGTCGGTATAGTGGTCAGAGAAGCTGACTGCGATGCCGAAGGGCCAGGGCTCGAATCCCGGAGAAGACATGGTTGTAACTGTCCGTCCCTTCATAGGAAAGGTGATAGTGGCTCATTTATCAGGTGCCTCCATGATTAAGAGACCACCACATCCGGCCTTGTATAGATAGATTAAGGGACTGGGTTGCATTTGTAATTGTTCACAATCTGCCATTGAAAAAAAAAAAAAATCAAAAATAATGCATTTGATACTAGGAGTTTCAAGGTATTATACTGGTATAAAAAATTATTGTGCATGATTTTTTTTACTTCAAAATTATACATCTATAATATAAAACTGAGTATTTACTTTTTTAAAATAATAGTAATTTCTCTGCAACTTTGACTAATAAATAATTATTTTGCAGGAAACTTTACAAAAGCATTTATAATTTTTAGCATGAATTTGCTTATTTCAGGCCATTATCATATGAAACAGAAGGAAAATTAATTCCTCTTTCAAAAGCATTAAATTTTGTAAATGTCATCGAATAAAAAAAAATTTAAGATTTTTCAAAGATAAAACTGAACATTTTCTCCAAAATGTTTCCGCAAAACATTTGTTTAAAGATAAAAATGTCTCTACAGCTAACCAACGTGACTTGAAAAATTAATGTGTAAGTTTTGACATAATAGTTGCGTCACACTGAAGCTTTAAATGATGATAAATTTTTCTTTTGGACCAAAAATAAAATGAATTTACAAAAACAATTGTAAGGAATTTAGCCTTGAATATGGTAATCTCTATCTTTCTCTATATGACATTTTTTTGGGGGGAGGGTATCTATGAAAGGTATAAAAATGCTGAAGTCCGCTTATAGAGCATTATTGAATACAGTTATTTTACCAGTGAGTCGAAACAGATAAAAGGCAATAATGCATGCTTTGGTAAGTTATGTTATTCCTTCCAACTCTGTCTTATCCTTAATGATATTTTATTATAAAGAGATTCGCTTTTGTTAACCATATCTACTGTTCCTTATAGATATGTATCTGACTTAAATTTAAATTCTTTCAAAATTTCTTCTTTACATTTTAAGTAATTAGAAATGGCATATATTTTCATGTTTGTTTTGCGCGGATGACTAACCTGCTTTATCTGAGGTAACTATATCTCGAGTGCTTTTCCATTATTACTTTATGAAAGGAACTTATAAATTTTTAAAACCATTCGTTTTTTAACAAAATAAATTTTGATATTTTTGACCCAGTGAATATAATTCTGTTAGTTCCTGCTAATGGACTCGTTTCTTGATTTGATGCACGTAATGATATTGATGGAATCTAGCTCACTAAAACCAAATTGCCATTGTAATTCAAAATGGCAGATATCGGCAGAACTGTTCATATTATCAAGCATTCGAATTATCGAAGGTATTCAGAGAATAAAACTTTACCATTTGAGATTTAAAAACTTAAAATATTCTTAGGGAACCGAAATTTTAAATTAATAAGAGTTCTGAGTGTGTCAAAAGATAGTTATCTTTATTGCTATATTTTTAATTCTTTTTCTATATAATGAACAAAGTCCTAAAATAATTTCCATTTTACATTAAATGGGTATTATTTGAAAAACATAACTCCTATGAGAAAAAGTGCATAATTTGCTTCTGTGCGAAAACGGTTTTTTGAAAAGAATGACTAATGCCGATAGATTTAAATCTTAGATAATTCATAGTAAAAATCAAAGTTCTTTTCACTAGTAAAGTAAGTCGAATAAGATACAAACAATAGTCTTCGATTTCTTTGCTTTTCAAAATTCAGAATGCAAAAGTATATAATCTTCTTTTGAAAAACATGTATATACATATATATACTCGTATATATATATATATATATAAATTTCTATAAGATAGAGAATCGCATGAACTTCGGGCACATGCCTACTTAGAAGAATTCAACTGATAGATTACAAGCTTAAAACCTTTTACTTCACTTTCGTCATGGAAATTTTGCAGCTTATTTATTTGGTTTTGCTAATATATCTGTATATTAACGCTAATTTCTGAGCACAATTTTTCAAAAATTTTTCATAATTCAACAACTATCTGAATTTCAATTCTTTATATAAGTAAGAGTTCCCTTGTAACATATTTGTTCCCTTATAAATATAAATAGAGCAATCATTTGTGTAAAATGTTTCTTGTGGAAATGTATCACGTAATTAAAAATATACAAAATCTGTATTCTAAAGCTGAGACTTTTAAAATAGACTATTAATAAAAAAGAAGCGCATTTTGTTCTTGTGAAATTATTATGACACTTATCCTATTAAAATTACTTTTAGTAGAATACATCAGTAAGAAAATCAATTTATTTCTCGAAACAAAACATCTTTAAATGCCTATTCAACTGATAAAAAACTCTTAACTCAACATTGACTTTTAAATTTTCTTACCATTGTTTCTTTGAATGATCGGTTGCACTAAACTAAATCCTTAATTATTCTGAAGTAAAAGAATTAAATATAATATATAAAATTAATATTTGACTTATGAATATCAAATGGCTTTAGTTTCAACTATTTGCCTGATAACTTCATATTTATACGAATAAAGAGAAAGCAGTACATTTAAAGAAGTCTTTCAAAGAAATTTTTCTTCAATGAAACTTTTAAAGGAAATATTTTTCAGAATAATTGTATATGTATGCGTGTAAGATAAAAAACGTGTAAATTAAAATTATAATTTAAACTGACGGTAACCCCTTCATTCTTTCCCTCTATTCTAAAAATCATAATAACTTCTCTGGAGTGTGTCATTTCTAGATAAATCTATGTCGCATGGCTTGCGTAACGCTGATGACGTAGCTAATTAGGAACCTACACTTTGACAATTTAAACCAAACCCTTTCTCTTTACAGCCTTCCATAATGGATAAATGCTTCACGTTCAGTTTGAACTTTTGTGTGCTGCTTGGTCGCTGTTTCGTTGTGCTCGCTTCCTATCGCAATAGTATCAAAAATGTAAATTTTCTTGAATAGGTACGATTGGAGTGCCAAGTGAACTGTGACCATAAATGTTAATGGGTAATAAAAATACAATTAAAATTACTTCGACTGCCAAGTTTCTTAGATGTTACGAACTAAACATATTACCATACTACGCAGATTTCTTCCTTTTTAACATGGATCAAGTATCTACGCTAAACAACATTGCTACGCTTCTACATCTCAGTGTTCTTACATCAGTTCTTCCAAAGTTGTGCTTTGATTACATATATTATATTATATTATAATATATATTACATATATTATATTATTATATATATTACATATATTATATTATTATATACATAATTTATTTTGTATTATCTTTATACTTATATATATTAAAATTAATTAATATTATTAAAACTATATTATTTTGATAATCTTATGAAATCACAATTATAATTGTATTTATTCGTTATTATAAAATTACAATTTTATGAGACTTGCCTCTTGAGTTAAAATTTTTAAAAAAGTGTTTTAAAGCTTAAAAACTTATAAGGTATATAATTCCTGATTTTAAAATAAAACCAAAGTGTGATCTGGATGCATATTTAAATTTAATATTTGAAAATATTTAAGCTAATCAGTTATGATTGGCCTAAATGAAGTTGTAGCCCTCTAGAAATTAAGCACATAGAAGAAAAACTTTTATTAAAATTAAGGGTTTCAAAATGCAAAGAGAATGAAACAAATTTGCTATGATTATTTTATCATCAGTTAACACCTCGTGGAGATTTAACAGATGTTTTAATATATATATATATCAATATTTTCTATTTTACCAGCATATGAAATTCATGAACTGAATACAATAAACACTTAGGAAGGACTTCTTTCGAGGTATTTAATAAGACAATCTAAGCTTAAAAAACCATGACAACTTACAACCTTCAGCTGAATCATTTACATTCATTACTATGAAGCCATGAAATCCACCAGCGGCCGAGCGGTAAAGTCGCTGAACATTGGTATTTCGGTCCGAGGTTCGAATCCCGCGAACGGGCTGGCTGCATGGGTGTTTTCGTGGTTTTCCACATGTGTAACGTGTATACGAGCCAGTTTCCCTTAGAACGTTCTCCACGAAGGCATCCCTCCCCTTAGGCAGATAGCCCTAGTGTGCTTTGCTATAATTAAATACACCAACACCACACCACTATGAAGCCATGGTGATGAGCTGAATACTGAGAATATCAAACGCTAAAATATGTATGCTTTTTTAAGTTTATTGGTTATATACTAGATGATTCAACAGCCCAAAACGTTTAAAGAAAGTGCGTTTTAGATCGTGAGAATTTTCCTCTAAGGAATTTCAGGGCGCAAACTTTTAAAAATAATGTAATTATATTCGACTGATGGAGCGTTGTTCACAAAATTTCTTATAATAAATGATGAATGCAATAGTTATCTCTACGAAACTGTTCTTTGAAGTAATTGTATATGAAGTGTATATGAAGTAATTGTAATGAAGTTCTTCTTTGAAGTAATTTCTAATGAGATATGTATCGACATTAGAAATATTATTTCTGCAGAAATCAATGATGCGTGTATCGGAAAGGGTCTTTTTGCTTTTTCAGTGATGTTGAATAATCTCTGCATATTGAGGATTTAAGCCATCAACCAAGAATCATTTTTAAGCGTTAAGGTTTTTAAGATTTTAGTTACTATTTATTGCTACCATTCTTCCAAAAGTTCAGAGTAGGAGGAAATGATTTTGCAGAATCTCATTCTGCACGACTGTCGTTAAATTCGTTGCTTACATTTTTTTCCAGATTGTAAATAAGGTTGTTTCGTTGAAATTGAGCTATCCTTCTTACAAATTAAGAATAATGATATTATTCTAAGCATAATATGAGTAATTAATATTTCTAAGCATAATGTGAGTAATTAGTTCAAAATTAGAATTAGCGGGCTCAGCGGCATCTAATGGACATAATCAGAATTTAAAAAATTGCATAATCTAGTTTTCTAGAAAACCTTGAGCTTCATGTAGTTCTTTGTTACGTACTTGTGTAAATGTATACTGTAAATTCACTGACCTAGAAATTAAAAAAAAAAAAAAATTGCTGACTTTTGGATATCTCTGTGCAACTTATTTTCTACTTATTTTAAAATACACGAATTAATTGTATGCAATGCATTAAACTGAAGGTAATTGTGAAGAATTCGAGTAAAATCCTTGATGCAAGAAGATCGTATAATTCTCTTATTATGCACATGTAGGTTCTTTGCTTACCCTTTGGCATTGTCTGAGCTGTAACTCAATGAAATCATTTTATATAATAGTTTAATATAATAGTTAATTTAATATAATGGTTTTTTTTCAAAAAATAATGTTTAGTATTGTAAGTTTCATTTTTCGACATTTGTAACTAGAAACCAACGAAGGCTATATCGAAATGTGTTCAGTTACTTATATCTACATCTTTTTCAGCTCCTTTTCTTGTTGGTTTTTGCCTACGCAAGTTGTGTTCTTGCCCAGTGGCCTTATTATTACATTACGCATTCCGTCGAATATCCAACAATTTACGGGCATCACTATGATCTGGATGATGATTTCTACAATTTCTACCACTGGAAGAAATAAAACATTTAATGTAAGTTCTTGTATTCTCTTAATGATTTATGGATTTTGTAAGCTATATGTTACACTCCTTAACGTAAGATAAAATTTCGTGCTTTCTTATGACAACAACATGATTACAGATTACTAATAAATTACTACTTCCATACATTTAATTCACTTAAAAATAAATAGCTGACACATTTTCAGCGTCTATTTCAAAACGTGGTTTTTTATCCCAGCGAAAGTCATGTGAATTATAATTTATTGACACAGTTACCTAACACAGAAAGTATAATTCCTACTATTATATACGCAATACCTTTAACAATAATTTTAGGTATTTCCATTATTGATAAGAAATTTCATTGTTTAGCATTTGTTCCACTAAAAATATATATAATGCTCAGGATTTTGCCAAAATTATAGCATGTTTCAAGACGTTAATTAATGCAGAGAGGATAAGGCTACGAAACACTGATATTTCGATTAGAGCTCTATTCTCAGAAGTTAAATCGACTAATTACATGAGATTTTTGGGATTTTTCCTTTATACGTAATACAAACATGGAATAATTTTCCAGAAAATTTTACATGGAGTATCCTTCTCCGATATTATACCATAGCAGCGGTCTACGTGGAAAGAGAAGGCCATTACAGTTTAAAATATGGCGGCGCTTTCTGACCGATGTTGTCATCGGAAAGTCGTCTAAGACAGGATAACTTTAAATTTTCGTTAGAAATGTAATTTTCTTCTTCTCTGGCACATGTAATTAAAATACACTGATAGTAAAGATGCTTTATAAATTGCTTTTATTTTTATAATTATTAAGACATTTCAATTAACTTTTCTCATAAATACAGTCAAAAGTCGTTAATCCAGACTAGTCGGGACTTCGATTCCGGATTATCGATTTTTCCGGATTATAGATCATCAGTTTAAATCTGGTAAAATGGGATGCAGAAATTATAAAATTAAAAATATGAAACCTTAATTTACGAAATAAAGAACAATTATGATCTAAAGGTTATCAAAATTTACAGAAAAAAGCTTAATATTTATTTGTTTACTTTATTAAACATTTCTTTTCAATGTAAGTTGTTTAAGTTGCTTCGTTTTTTATGTTATAATACATTCTCTTTAATTCTATAAACAGACATAATTTCTTGTTCAGTTACAAAGTTCCGCTGTTCAAGTCCTATAATTGCTGTGTCGAGAATACAGACTAATTTGTCAATCGAAATTTTTTCGTTTTCAATAACCTCTAATACTTTCTTCGCTATCGGAAGCGAGAGGCATTTGATTTAAATCATATCAAAGACGAGATGAAATACTACATGGAGTAAGCAATCATAAGCCAAATAAAATAAAAACATCTGCCCTTAAGATAAGGATAGTGCTGACAGATCAACTTCCAATTCATTGCACGCCACTGCCGCGTTAAAGATAAACAAACGTTAAAGTTTAAATAAACAAAGGATATGCTTTTATCCATTTTTTGCAGCAATTCCACTTTTTGTTTAATGGACTCCGAAAGATACTTTCGCTTTGTATATCCTTTACTTGTTAGCAAATATATATCGGAAATTCTATTTGACATAATCGAAAGTTCAAGCTTACTTTTATAAAATTGCTCTAACAGTCTACAAAAAATAATAATCCGGATCCAATTCGAAGATTAAGGAATAACGCAATCTGCAACATTAACGGAAATAGATAATTAGATAATTTTAGCTTAGCTTATCCCGTCCGTTATACATTAAACGCGCATTCGTAAACGTATTTTGCGCACGCGCACATGCAAATTCGCAGCGGTAAAGGTCTTACGCGCATGCGTCAACGCGACGCATGCGCAGAAAGTTTGTAGCTTTGAGGTCCGGATTATGGGTGTCCGAATTAACGACTTTTGACTGTATAATTGCATAAGAACGCATTAGGGAGCAACGATAATTTTGTAATAATTTAAACACTGACCGAAACTTGCCCCTGTCATGAAAAATTAGTGATTGATTCTATGTAAGAATCATTCTAGACTAATATTTTACCTATATTCAAGTTAATTTATTTTTCTTTAACAACGAAACCTACTATAACCATCAACTTTTACATCTCCAACATATGCCTATGACAGACTATTTAAATTAATTACTAAATGCCCTTAAGAGTACTTTACATGCGAAAGTTACCTAAATCTAATACTAAAAAATGTAAATTCTAACATTTATATTATAAAGAGGTAATAACCTAACAAATAATGCACATGATTATAATATTTAAGAAAGTTGAATTATGTAATGCTTTGAATTACTGATACCAAAAGAAGTGTAGTAAAACTGCAATTTGCAATTGATAGAAAAATACTTGATGTTTTTTAAATATTGTATAATTAAAAATTCGATAATAATGGATAACAAGTTTTACCAGACGTTTTCTTAATATGAACCTCTTTCTATTACACGTAAATGAATATTCTGATAATTGAGTTTCTACATTTTAGAATAGTGATAGATTACTACTCGTATAATTACTTCACGCACGTTTTAACTCAATAACCTTGTTTTTCAGATTCACAGAAAAGCCTTAAGTAATATATAGAATAACTTGCCTTAAAACCTGCTCTTCGTTAAAAAATTTCCTAACCGTTTCTTTCATTTATAATTTCCTCGTTATCCCAAACATATGTCAAATTAAGCAGCGAAAATAAAAGTATGCTTAAATTTAATAAAAAATAATAAACTCAAGCATTCGTATTTATAGTGTTCTTTAACATCATCACATTCTATCATCTCTGGAATAATGGCATCTCTGGAATAATACTCTCTGGAATAATGGCAGATCACTTCATTCAAAGAATACATAATCTAAAATCAAAAACATTTCTTTGCGTACTGCACAAAAAATCTTTGACTAAAATACGCTGTTGCCATGTACATTAAATTCTGCTCTTCGTTATCATGGAATGAAACTTTTCATTTATCATGAATGCTTTTGCTGTCAAATATATATATATATATATAAATTAAGTAATGAAAACACATTTTAATAACAATAAACCTAAATTCAAACATTCATATTTATAATACGATTCTGATGTAACTAAAAAATTCATATGACAATAATTTTTTAAAAGAACAAACTATGTAGAATTTGGACTTACAAATACTATGAGAAAAATATAAAACTATGGGTTACAATTAATATCTTAAAAATAAGTAATGCTTTTTAAATTTTTTAGTTCTTGCTCATTTGAAGCAGAAAATTTGCTATCTGCTAAAACTTTTGAATAATTATTTAAACGAATATTTAAAAATGTGTTCAATATTTTCATAACAATAGTAATGCAATCACCACTGCAAGATTGGAAGATTTCATTAATAAATTTTCCATTATTAATTACATACATTTTAAAATGTGAAATAAGAACTAATACTGATCTTAGGTTTTTTTTAAAATGCTCTTCATATTTGTTTCATATAAATACTCTAAAAATTACAGTAACTATAGATTATAATATTAAGTATTAGTCTGAATGACTTTTTAAGACATTTGCCGTATCTAAATATTTGTACATGGCTTTATTTTCTGCTGTTTGAGATAATGAAAGATTGTCATAAACATTCCTTCAATCAACTTAAGTTAGACAAACTAGATAATTTTTCTTGCAGATTACACACAAAAATTTCAATCAATGTACATAACAATCAATTATGCATATTAAAGCTTGCTATTCATTAATTGATACATTTAAAACAACATATCTTTGAATATCGTCAAACACAGAAGGATCTCATATTACTAAATTAGCTGCACATGATATTTCATCAAAAAAGTATTTAATTGGCACATTCTCCAACATGTCTGAATGTGGTGTTAGTATAATTTTCACTAGAGGTTTTTTTCATAGTCTTTTTAACATCGGTTGTTTTGTTGGAATTCGGAAAACCGTGCTACCTATACCAGTGCAGAAATCTTCTCATACAATCATATCTTTGGAAATTGCCTTTTTCAAATAACATTTGTTTTTGAAGAAGAAAAATTCGCTGGGGGAAAACTTTCAGTACCACAACTGCTTTTATTGAGTCATTCTTTGGAAATTTGTATAACTTGCGTAATTGTCTGTTATAACAAAATTAGAAATACACTTTGGTGTATTTCTAATTTTGTTAATTTTGTTTTGGTGTTTATTATGTTATATTAATAAAATTATCATTAAACAAGAACGTTAGCACACACTTCGTGTTTAGCTATAAGACTGATCGTTCAAAAACGATGAACGGAAAAGATGCTTCATTTCTAAGCTGTTTGACGTGTGTCATGATCTTCTCCCTTTGCGAAGACCAATACGTAACTGTTTCCTTCTGTGTATAATCAAATAATACAATCCACCACTGTAGAAAATTAAGGACTTCTGTGATCCATAACGTTTCAGTCAAAACAACTCTGCCAGATCTTCATCTAAAGGGTAATTTAGAGGAATGATAAGTGAAAAAATAGAGGATTTATAGAATATTTATTCAAATATATTCTATTAAAGAAGTGAATGTCAAGCGCTAAAATTTTTATAATGAGGATCTTTAATTTGTGTGCAAGTCCAAGCCGCAAGCTGCAGCTTTACTCTTGTGTATTACTTCAAAACAGACACTTAAAATCTTTTCGATCCTTCTCCATTTGCAATCAAAATACGTCTAGCCATCACAGCACTTATCTTCTCCATCTCATCTGAGACTGTGATTCAAGTTTACCTTCATAAGTGCGCTTTTCATAAAGTTAAACATGCTAGATGAAAAATTAAGTATGGAAAAACAACAAGCGTCTGCCGCAGCTGTTGTTACCGTGGTTAGAAGGCAAGCCTTGAACGAACTCCTGAAAATGCCTTTATATTGTAGCAAGTTCTGAAAATTACCCTGAAATGCCTATTCTAATGTAACAAACTGTGCCATATTCCCAGGACAGTCCAGTCACTGGTGATTGATTTTGGCTGATGTTTGCTTTTGTTGGAAAACAGGCAAGAATGATTGATCCCCATTTTAGGG